GAATATCACTGAAAGAAGACAGACTCCTCAAACTTTTAAATAGTGAACATAACTTTGCTGATTATGAACATTTTTCTGGTTTGGGAATGGACATATATACAAGATAGGTATAATCTCATCCTATTCAGATTGCAGAGAATCATGTGACTTAGTTTTTTGAACTCCAGTAAAATCCTGTAGTTTCATACCATGGCCACCTTGAGACAGAAAAAGAAGAATAGGTGAAACCTGTCTGTCCGTCTGTCAAGACCTAGGTCTTCAGCTGGTGAAATGCCGAATGAAAATCTTCAGTCTTTGGCATGAACTCAGAAATCTATCCCATAACATTTATAACAGGGAAGCCAGAGCAGTGCATTGGTTAGAGATTGGGCTGGATAAGGGAGACCTATGTTCAAGCCACTGGATCATAATGCTCAGTGGGTGACTCTGGATCAGACACTTTCTCTCAGGCAGTTATCCTCCAAGATTGCAACTGTAAGAATAAAATAAAGGTGTCCCTATGTGAGCTACCTTGAGTTTTTAAAAGGAAGAGAGAATATAAATGCAATGAGCAAACAAACACATAAATAAATAAAATTGATGTTTCATACTTAGTTTGATGTGAAAGACATATAATGGGGGTACATCAAACCTATGTAAGTTTCTAAATGGGCTAATTAACTATACAATAAAGGCCAGGGAGATTACAGTTGATACACACATGTCAGTTTAGGAAACAAGAGCCATGGGGAGGGCTAACTGTCTAATTAATAATCTCATTTCCATGTTGTCTTATAACACAGAAATGAAAGCAATGTAGGCTACCTCTAGAAAGATTTGAAATCAAAGTGCATATAATATTAAATGAACCAAGTTCCACTTGGTTATTTTGTTCAGTAAGACTTATAGAATAAGAGCAACATAACTTTCATATATATTTGTCAACTGATATAGGCTTGAATCTGGGAAACAAACCGATTATTGTTTAGATATAAAACCATGAAGAGACTTCAGAATGATCAATAACATTAAGAGCTGTGCTCATCATAAAACAAGCTAAAAATAAATGGGCTAAGAAGGAAGTCTAAGCTAAATACAACTTATTTGAATAATTAATCTATGGGTTAGAAAACCTTTCCACAAATCATCTATAATTATTTTATACTATGTGGAGACAGATTTTCTAAAACAATCTTGATTTCTAGAGGCAAATACATAACTATAAACTACTCCTGTCCATCCTTAAAATTATTATAAAATATATATCATTTTATTACAAAATACACCAAACAAGGAATAATCATATCAATATTTACCAAGAAAACATAAAGATTAATGAAATCTAATTAATTGGAAATTAGAATGTTATATCTAGAATTAAAGAACAGTCACAAACAGGAGTTCCTTGCCTGGCTCCTCCAGACACTGTTAAATCATGAAGTGAACAGTTCTAAGGTACTAATTTCTTTTCATTCCCAACAGTTTACAGTCTAATAATAGAACAAAGAATGAAATCTAGGAGAGTTAACCAGAACAGAAGAGGCTGGTATGTTCTCAGCAGTACTAAATTTATGGTGGGAACAATTGCTGTCAAAGTAGATGAAAAGTTCAGAAGATTATGCTAAGTGGAAAGGGCATGCTTTCTTCTTGTTTTATCAGTCTTGTAGTTATAATTCTAGAACTTTTTCCAAAGCGTCCAGCTGCTAGTCATGTTCCTCCTTGTCCCCGTCATTTAACACTATAAAAATCTGAACAGCTCTAGGACTGATATTAGAGGGGAGAGTTAAAGGCTTTCCTTTTTCTTGGGATTTTTCTAAGAACTATTGTAAGAGGACAAGAAAATAAATATCCCTATTCAAGAAACATTATACTGAACAGGTTGTTCCTGTCATCTGTTACCTCACTGTATTTCTCACTGGTTAGGATCACTACAAGAAACACTGCCCTTGCTTTCAATCACCTCTGTTTGCTTTCAGTATCATCAACAGATACTGAAATCAGGTTAATATGTATCATTTTTACATTATTTTTATACAATTAACAGGCTTTCTCAGAAAAAAGTAAAACCATATTTTTCCAGAAATATTTCATTCCTACCAATACCTCAAGTTTAAGCCCTAACATCCAAACACTGAGTTCCTTCCCTGAGAGGCCTGTCTTTATTTCAAACTAACCTGTACTTTTGATTTGTTTTTTGTATTTTATGCCGTTTTCTTTTCAAGTTCTATATTTCCACAGTTCTACTATATCTTATCTGTTGGTGTTGCTAGAAAAAGGCCAATCAATGAAAATTCAGTAAAAACAAGTTTGAAGTTTTGAACAGACAACCTGGATAACAATTTATTGAGTTACACATTACTATATTTAAAATCAATATTATTATAAGTGATTGAATCCACAAGTAAAGAAAAATCTGAACACTTTCCCCCATTTTCCCCCTTCAGGTAGGTATATACTGTTTCTGAATGAAAATTCTGTCTGTGAGGTACTTTTATTGAAAGGATAAAAGTATTTTTGTATATAAAGGGAATCCCATTTGGATAAGGATGAAGCCTGAATGTGTCCCCACAGTTCCCCACTGTTTCTCTCACCAAAGCTGCCTCCAATTCAAACCCAATATGTCCACTTTTTCTCCTAACTCTCCATAATGCCCTTCCTCTTTCTGTATCTTTTACCATTTTTCTTCCGCTGTTTCTTCATCTGGTTTCTCTCTAACCCTCTTTGGCTATGCAATGTATCCCCTTACTCCCGATTCATGTCTATTTTTCTGCACTTTCAAATAACGTTTTTCTCTATTTTCCCGCTTTTGCTGCCAATTGTAGCTCATTTTGAAAACAAAACGCAGTGTTGTTTTATCAGTAGATGGAGCTATGGCTGTTGAGATTCAGTGTTTTATCACCCTCAACTGACAAAAAAATAAAGCTGCAAGTTCTTGTTTTAATGTTATTACAAAAACACCCAAAAACTTATAAAGTCTAATGTTGCCATCAAGATGATAGAAGCTGTATATTCTAACTCTGTGCTATGAAATCCCTTGTAGGCTTCCACAATTCCAAAAAAATCAAGCATATTAAACAAGTTCATTATTTAATATTGAGAATTATTTAATACTGAGGAGCAATAACACATAAATTGTAATTGATTTTGCTAACAATTTAACAGTATCATTTGCATGTATAGAAGATTTAATATGCCATTATTCTTTCAGAAGCTATTTGATAAAATTATCAAGGCCCAAAAAAGAATGGAATTATAAAATGCACAAATAAAATAAGAAACTTCATTTAGAACAGCATTAAATAAGATTTGGGGCAATTTCCAATTAAATAAATTATCTGCTTGGACAAGAACTTTAGCTTAATATTTACAGTTTCCTTTATCTTAAGAGCACAGAGCAAGGATCAATTATACAAAAATATGAACCAAAGGGCACACAATCCACTTATTGATTCTCCAATAATAAAAACTTTTAAGAAATATAGGATTTGAAAGCAAATAATACTATGTAATTAAGTTTACCGGAGAAACACTAACTTCTGAAAAAGCACTTCATTTCCGAACACTAACATCTTCATTTTACAGAAGGATAACGAATGCCAAGTGAATAACTGCCAAATGTTATTGTCAAGATAACCAAGTAATCCTGTTTGAATTGGATTCTTGCTCTTTATTTACCTCTATTTAGATCACACTGACCCACCAATATAAAGAGACATGCTTCTAATAAACAAAATACTCCATTAAACATTCATCTGGTTGTAATATCTCATTTTCATACTATTTCTGCCACTAATAATATCTCCATAGTCATTCCTGCTACCTGTCTATTTTTTCTAAATAATGCCCCAAAAAGCAAGGACAGAGAAAAGCAAGCATAATGAAAAAGCAAGACAGCTGCCTTCTGCAGCCTTCTTAAAGAATTATGCTTCATTAATATACCAATACTGTTTCTAAGTAAACATACACAGGTAACTAAACAAGAAACAGATAATACCACTTACCCTCATTGAAGTTTCTCCTCCATGTGGTTGCTGAAGCCTGAAAACCTGAGCCACCATATGTTCTGTAGACGGGTGCAACAAGATGCGACGAGATGCGAGTCCTACCATGACATACCTGCCCATTGGGGACAAGCTCACAGAAATGGCATTGGGACCTAGGGAAGAAACAAAACACATTAAATGTCTTCATTAAGGAATCCATTTTATGCCTCTGATCCTCCTTCCTTCCTTCTCCATTTTCCTTATGTAGAGTGTAGTAAACTTATTCACAGCTATTAATCTCTAAAAAAGATATTTTGCTTATAATGATCTTAATCAAGTAACAGCAGTAGCAAAATTTCATGACCATATTTAGTTAAGCAAATATATCATAGGACATCACATGGTATATATTCCTATTTCACCACTCTCTTGCTACCAAATCGGTTTACAATTGGGATTACTTTTTCCTTGCAACTATTACCTATATCAGTTTGATGTCAGGAAAAAAAAAAGTACTGTTAAAGGTCTTGACAGCTTCCCTGAACCTTTGATATATAATCTCTTACCAAATCGCTTTGTGTACAGCATTTCACCCAAATTGTGCGGTGCAAGGGAATAGACTGCCAGTATCCCCTCATCAGGAAATCCCCGCTGACTGCTAGGAATGAAGGCTGCCAAAAGCTGCCCATCTGCAGAAATATCACAGCTGGCATCATTGTATATCTTGCAATTTTGAACAAGCACATTCACAGATGCTGCACAGGGAGAAAAAAAGAGAAGAGTCTAGAATTTAATTCAGAACAACAACAAAATCTTGAATCATTTAAGGACTGCATATTTTTTTTCTGTATCGCTAAACTAATTCTAATAGATTACTTGTTATCTATGTAAATCTGCTGTTGGCCAGAAATGCAGAATTCAGATGAGTAAAACTTTTTTTCCCTTAAGATGTCAAATGAATTTACATATATTCCTTAATTCTTTTTTCTTCATTTCTGTATAAATCTATTATTTTTTATCTTCAAGATTTGGTCGATGTACTGTTAATTCTTTAAATTTCCAAGAACAGGAGGAGTAAAGTTCAAGCAGCTTAGAACTAAGATGGCTTTTGCACTGCTACAGCAATGCTCTGTATTTATGAAATGGAATATCACCAGCTGATGGCAAATTCTAGGATATGAGCATCTGAGGATATCTGCAACAAATGTTATAGAAGTCTACAAATCCTTGTTTTGAAGAACTGGGACTTAACATAATAAGTAACTAAACATATTAATGAACATGGATCTTACACAGTATTAATATAGTTTTTCTCCCATCATAGTGCTAAACTGTTAGAGTAGGCTACAGTTGCAGGAATTTCTCTTTCCATTCATCCCTTCAACATGCATACCATTTCTGTAAGAAAGCTCTGGCAATCATATTCATCCTTTTGTTATCTGGCACACAGTCCAGCTGCTTTGAAAGCAATCTCACATGTCCAATTTCCTGTTAACAATCCACAGACTCCTGTTTTTAGATACTGTCTGAAGGTAACCCCTGCCCAACTTATGGGACCTTGATTCTTCATAACATGGCTCCAATATTCAGTGATGAATTCATAAATTGCAGTGAGCCAAGTTATTTAAACCATGGTTTATCAAATAAACCATACTAGTCTGATTTACAAATGAGGATGAACGACACTTGGTGGGTTCAAATGTTCTGCTAAGTCAAAAAAACAAATCAAATGCCCTCAAATCAGGAGATAGTTTAGATCTGTGTACCTGCCCATTGTTTTCTTAGCATCCTGTTTTTAATTCTCTTGTCTAACCAGTCTTCCTTTATTTTGGCTCCTTGGGCTCCCAGTCAGAATTCTTTATTTCCTAAAGTTTTCTTCTTCTCACTTCTTTCATGCTAATCATATAGAGCAACCTCTTTTTATGCTGCTTGGTTTTCTCTACTGCTTTTTCTGTACCTTACTTCTACTTCTCTTTTCTTCCTATCTTTTCCTTAGACCTATGCTTTTTACCTCATAGTTCGGTACTCAAATTCACTGATGTTGTTCCCTTTGTCAGCAATCTACCCTACTTGCCCCTTAATTCCCACTTCCACTTCCTAAAATGTTTATCAGCTCAGTTTCTCTATGTCCTCACCACACCTACCAATCCTATTTCAGTAAATGATTTTGTCTCAATTAAACTGGCTTCTCATGTTACTCACAATTTATCTGCAAGCACTCTACTCTGCTGATTTAATTTTCCAAACATTCACTACCTTTGCTGTTACTTACACAGCACCACATTTATTTGATCATTACCCTACAGACTTTAGTTTCAAGTTTACAATGATCAGAGGGCTGTAAATGACACAATGTTCTAGCTAGGTAAATTAAGATTGTGAATTATTACAGGTAGCCCTCACTTACCAACAGTAATTGGGACCAGGACCCAATGCAGTCGTAAGGCACGATGTCACATGACCACGCTGACTTATGACGTCAGTTCCAGCAATCCCAGTTGCTGTCATTAGGCGAATCCCGCACAGTCACAACATCCCATGGTCATGCGATCACCATTTGCAACCTTCTGTTGGCTTCCCATTGACTTTGCTTGTTGAAAGCTGGTAGTGAAGGTTGCTAATGGCAATCACATAACTGTGGGATGCTGCAACATTGTAATTGCAAGCCGGTTGTCTAGCACCCAAATTGTGACCACGGGGACGCTGCAATGGCCATAACTATGAGGACCCATTCTAAGTACCCCTCATTCAGCACTGTTGTAACTTCAAATGGTTGAACGAGTGGACGTTAAATGAGGACTACCTGTGTAATATTTGCTAACATGAGCTTTTTTGAGAATAAAGAATTTTCCACAACAGGAAAACTGCTGCAATAGAACCACCATTCAGCTCTAACTCTCTTTTATCAAACATTTATGCACAATACTGAAGGAGGTCCAGAATTGTCAATGAAAGATACACTTAGTTCCTTGAGGTAACACAGAAATTAGCAGTAGCAGCAACACTGATTATTTTTAACAACTCACTTTTTTTTATTGGTGGTTTATTGTTATGCACCTCATTCCTTATTGAGGAGCATGCAAAAGGAGCATTTACATAATCACTATTATTATTAACGCTTGACCTATGATAACATGGTGACAAGATTTTTGACTAGCTGTCAAATGATGGTTATAAACTACTACTGATACATTTTTACCTCATACATCCAAATGTATGCATAGCTACATGTGATATGATCCTCATCAGATCTATAATCTGGAGGAGACAATGCAGATAGCCAATATTATAATACTTCAGATCAAAGCCATGTTAAATTTATGGGTATTTACTTAAATGGAATTACAATCAAAATCCAGATTCCACAACTAGTAATGCTCTTCCCACCATGCACAATTTTTTTCAAAGCACCTGAAAACCTTTCTAGAATCAATAAATCTTTTATTTCATCTGTCTCATAAAAGTAAGGAAAAAGTATCCATGTACCTATTCTGAATTAAGCCAGTAACCAACTCTTCTGAGGGGACTGTGGGAACCCCCTCAGCCAGATAATCACAAGGACTGGATATGGATACAAGTTCAAGAGTGGAACTACTATCAGCCACCTCCTCTACATGGAATGACATCAAGCTGTATAGCTAAGAGCGAACGAGACATCAACTCGCTGATCCACCTAATACGGATCTACAGTGAGGACACTGTGATGTCATTTGGACTGGAGAAGTGTGGCCGGACAGTAGTAAAGAGAGAGAAGGTAGTTAAGACTGATGAGGTGGAACTACCAGCAGGCCACATAGCAGACATACAGACCAGCTACAAATACCTTGGTATCCCACAGTCACATGAGAACCACGATGAGGAGGCAAGGAAGACAGCAACATCCAAGTACCATCAAAGGATAAGACAGGTCCTGAAGAACCAGTTCAATGGAAAGAACAAAATCCATGCCATCGACATGCCTGCCCGCCAATCATAAGATACCCTGCCAGCATAGTGAGCTGGCCAAAGGAGGACATGGAAGCTGCCAATATGAAGACCTGGAAGCTCCTCACAACGTATGGAGGTTTCCACCCTAGAGATGGTACACCAGCTGGAAAGAGGACAAGCAGGGCCTGGTGTCAAAGCCACTGTCCTGGATGAAACCCAGAGCATCCAGAAGCACATCAGTAAGATGGCACCCAAAGATGAGTTGCTGAAAGAATCCCTGAGGCAGCAATAGACATGGGAGGAAGTTCAAGCAGAGGAAGTGCCATGGCAAGACAAGACCCTCATGGGATGTACCATCAAAAGATAGCTGAGGTGGCTGACATTGGGAAATCCTACCAGGGCTGGACTAAAAGACAGCACTGAGGCACTGATCATAGCAGCACAAGAACAGGCACTAA